ACAGAAGTCACCAGCGACCCCTCTACTCTCGCCAATCGCTGGACCTGCTTCGAAGACTGCACCCTTCAGCCCTCGCACACCCGGCTCTACCTGCGGGCTGTGTGGCTGATGTGCGAAGAGAACCGGGGCGACAGCTACATACAACTATCAAACAGAAGGCAAGGACTCTAGCAGGATCTGATGCACAAATGCCCAGAGAGGCTCTCTCTCTCTCAGCCTCACCCTTCCCCCACCCTGCCCCCACCCTTCACTCGCCCTTCCCTTTCCCTTCCCTCACGCTTCCCTCACCCTCACCCTCACCCTCACCAACAACACCAACACTGCCGCCGCAGACATCATCACCGCCACCATGACAATCTCTGCGAGCGCCACAGGCACGACCAGAAACAGCATCCTGACCCCCAAAAGCATCATCGTCAACAACCTCGAACTCCTCCTCGGCAAGCTCTCCCCTTTTCCACATGCTTCGTTCTGCATGTATGCAGACCAAACTCTATACATCAACCGACCTCAAGGCTGAGCAGCCCCGACTGGCACTGTTCTTTCAGTACCAGTCGAAGCGTCAGGACTGTGCGAAGATGGAGACCAAGGCTTCAGCGGCAGCTGTGCGGACAGACGTGTCATCGTCGCGCAAGGCCTTCCGCAGCTCCGGCTCGGCTTCTCTTGCCTCTGTGCCAATGGAGCCCAATGCTCTAGCTGCAGCTAAGCGGACAAACGGGTCATCGTCATCCAAAGCCTCCCGGAGCTCCGGCACGGCTTCTTTTGCCTCCGTGCCCATGGTGGCCAATGCTCTAAGTGCAGCTTCGCGGTCCAAAGCCTTCCGGAGCTCCGGCACGGCCCGTGCGCCCACGGAGACCAAGGCTTCAGCAACAGCTGTGCGGACAGACGTGTCATCGTCCCACAAGGCCTTCCGCAGCTCCGGCACGGCTTCTTTTGCCTCCGTGCCCATGGAGCCCAATGCCTTCGCTGCAGCTAAGCGGACCTCATTATCTTGCTTCCAAGGGTCTAACGCCTTCCGGAGCTCCGGCACGGCTTCTTTTGCCTCTGTGCCCATGGACAACGCTCTAGCTGCAGCTAAGCGGACAAGCCGGTCATCGTCATGATCCAAAGCCTCCCGGAGCTCCGGCACGGCTTCTTTTGCCTCCGTGCCCATGGTGGCCAAGGCTTCAGCGGCGCCTCTCCGAACACGGTATTTTTCAGTAACAGCCAAAGCCTTCCGGAGCTCCGGCACGGACTGTGCGAACATGGAGACCAAGGCTTCAGCGGCAGCTATACGAACAGAAAAATCGTCATCATCCAAGACCTTCCGGAGCTCCGGCTCGGCTTCTCTTGCCTCTGTGCCCATGGAGCCCAATGCTCTGGCTGCATCTAAGCGGACAGATCGGTCATAGTGGCCCAAAAGCTCCCGGAGCTCCGGCACGGCTTCTTTTGCCTCTGTGCCAATGGTGGCCAACGCTCTAAGTGCAGCTTCGCGGGCAGACCCATAGTCGCCCAAAGCCTTCCGGAGCTCCGGCACGGCCCGTGCGCCCATAGAGACCAAGGCTTCAGCGGCAGCTGTGCGGACAGACAGGTAAGAGTCGCCCAAGGCCTTCCGCAGCTCCGGCGCCGCGGCTTCTTTTGCCTCTGTGCCCATGGCGACCAATGCGTTAAGGGCAGCTAAGCGAACCCGATCCTCCCCGTCACGGCCCAATGCCTTCCGGAGATCCGGCACGGCTTCTTTTGCCTCTGTGCCCATGGAGCCCAATGCTTTAGCTGCTTCTTCGCGGACCCAGTCACTAAGTGAGTCGTGCAGTTGCTTCCGAAGCTCCGGCACGGCATCTCTTGCCTGTGGGCCCATGGAACCCAATGCTGCAACGACAGCTTTGCAGAGAAATGTTGTGAGAAATGTTTTGAAACATTTGCCTGCCAAAGCTGTCCGCAGCTCCGGCACGGCTTCTCTTGCCTGTGTGCCCATGGAGGCCAATGCTTCAGCGGCAGCTTGGATTACATTATCATCAGAGTCGCCCAAAGCTTTCCGGAGCTCCGGCACGGCTTCTGCTGCGTCTTTGCCGATTGCCTTTAATGAATACGCGGCAGAGATGCGGACCCCAAACAGGTCGTCGCCCAATGCTTTCTGGAGACCCGGCACGGCCTCCTTGCCCATGGAGCCCAATTTCCGAGCTGCATCTGAACGGACTCGGGAGTCCCAGTCGCCCAACTCCTTCAGGAGCTCCGGCAACGTGGGCTCCTTTGCCTCTGTGATGGAGCCCACGGCCTCAGCAGCATGGACTTTCCGAGCGAATTCACGGTCGGCCTCTGCAGAGCTGGTAGCTTCAACACGAAAAGCGGGGATGTGCAAACAACAAAGATTCATGAAAGTGAAGATCCCGAGGAGGATGATTGTCATGGCTGCACTCGGGACGTGTGCTGTGGCAAAGCTCAACGTCGTGGCTGCAGTAGCACAGAAAGCTCAATCAATAATTGATCATGGACGGCTTGGGGCTGAAAAATCCCAGTCCTCACCACGGTCACCACTGTCATTATGGAGCAGCATTATCATGATCATGTTCGTCGCTACCATGAGGATCATCAGCTGCTATCATGCACCATGTGCGTGTCAGATTTGTAGTCACCCTGGCTGCATGGTTCGAAGTGTTGTCCTGCTTGAAACTTTTCTCCATCAACATCTCACGATGCGTACTCTGCCTGCGTGCGGAGCAGCGAAACTGTGCAGGCCACCTTGGTCAGCATCTGTTTTGGGCATTATTGAGTCATGGGTTCGGCGTTCAGGCCGCAACTGTCTCTCACTCCCAGCCTCGCATCAGGGATCGGTTGGTGGCATGCATGAGGTATTGACGGCTTCTACATCTTGCATCCCTTGCTGACAGACGCTAGAGGACACTTCTAGTCGGGGAAGCCGTAAACCTGTGAACGTCCAGCACCGAAGGTTTGTGAAGATCTACCGCTTGAGATCCCTGTGATGCACTTCGCTTTGTGTTTACACAGGCACTGCAGGACATTGTGTACTCCTTTACGCACTTTGGAGCTTGGCCGAGTGTCGTAAATTCTGCTGTTGATAAGAAAGGACATGCACAGAAGTTTGGACTACATACCGACATCTATGTCCGAATATAGGTGTGTGCACATGCATAGTGCATACATGCCCACAGGGCCCGCAGATATGCATATCCGAATCCCTTAAAAACCTGTGCGTCTCTCTGTCCCTCTGTCAGTGTCGGTCGGTCTGTGTGTCACCTGTTTCGGTTTGTTAGCTTGCAGCCCAAAGTTCAGCTATGGGGCTACGACATGTCATAGGCATGTAGATGGAAGTTTAGTCTTTTTTTCGCACCGTTGAGTTTGAGGCTTTGGCCGCCGGCGTGGCAGTAAATGCTGTTACTGATGCCGAAGACGGGTTCAGGGTTTAAGTCGTGATACCGGTGCTTCCTTAAACCGTTTTGGGACTGTAGAGTCAAGCCAGAACCGACAGCGACTGCACAAGCTCCGCGCAGCAGCGAAGATCGGCAGAAATATGGGCCTTGTAGAGCTTTTCTTTAGTGGAATGTGCAAATCGCTGGACTAAGAAGCCGGAAGTCGGAATCCCCAGGGGCCCCGTGAACACTAAGACCCTAAACCCTAATCCAAGTCACCTAGGTATCAAAGCGTTTTTCGCCACTTCCTCTTCCCGCTCCACAGCTCCTTCGGTAAAAAGGATAAACTGGAAGGCTGGCTGTATCTTGTACTTTGACCCTACTACACTACCAGATGGCATGACAAACCTGGTGTGGCATAACAGTTGTTGTTTCCATTGAACGGCACTAGATCGATGCACACACAGATGTACATGTGATTTCTGAGGTAGAGACAAAGATATAGATTTCGGTGTAGGTGTGCATGTAGAAGTGGATGCAGGAGATAGCGACAGATGTAAAGATGTGTGGACAAGTGGAGGAAGATAAAGGAGATTGAGATAGACACAAAAGATGTGCAGATACGTAGATATACCAACAAATGGTGTACACATGCAGACAAGAAGCTCTTAACTTGCAAACACACATGGTGTGATTGTAGACATGCACCTTTGCTTACACGTGTATGTCCGGTTGAAATCCCAACCGGAACGCTGGGCATCGAGCCACTTTGGAACCAGGGCAGACATGGACTCCCATTTGAAGATCGCCCTTGTTGCACAGAGTTGCGAGGTTGGAGGAGATCCACTTCTTGAACACAGATTCAATCTGGAGTTCGAACTTTTTGGGTTCAAATTGGACCTAGATTCCAATTCTAGCTTGGGAAACTCAATGTTTAAACTCCAAATCCTACAGGTTCCCAGAGTTTAATTCTGTTTCAAACACAGCTGAACGAAAATCACAAATCAGAAATTTGGTAAATTCGAAAAGGAAGGCAAGTAAGGAAGAAAAATGTAAATGAGACACAAATCAAAGCAAATTAGAAAAGCAATATTGTTAGAGTCTTTAGAGCCAATCAGTGTGTTTGGCAACAGCAGGACAAGTTGTTTCTGTACAGATTGTGCATTTCTTCCCAATAAAGCTCGAAACCTTCATCCAGCGTCGTGGTCCTGGGATCTGGATCCGATTTTTGCAGGAAAACATGCGTGTGAGACAGACGACAAGGCCACAACCACCACAGACGTGTGGTTTTGAGAACATCAGGAGGCCACAGATGTGGGCTTTCATGCCCCTTCGGCCAACGGACCAAGAACGTGTGATTGTTTTCGGACAGATTTGCAGCTCTAAGTAACACTAAATTCATTAAGATCAAGGATCTTCTGTCCGAAACAACCGCACATTCTGGTCTGTTGTGGCCTGTGGCATGAAAGCCACGTGTTCACTCGGAATTTTCGTCAGCCCACAAGTCTCTCCATCAACCACCTTTTTGGGTCTGGTTTCGTCGATGCAGCTCTGTTCGATGCCCCGAGCTCTTTTAGAGGTGTTCCACGCTGGCCAGGATGTTCTCTGCAAGCAAAAAGCAAAGAAGTAGCATGCATTGCACAGACGAAGGCCATTGTGTCAGATTGCACGGGCCAACCTTGCAAACTCTGCATATTTCGCATTTCTGCCACCGTGCCAAGAGATCTTTGACAGAAAGGCTGAAGCCGGCCGCCACCAACACCGCATTGTCTTCGCAAAAAACAGTTCGAGACACGAGCCAAAATGTCGAGTGGTCAACACCCGCGGAACCAGCGTTTTTTTGCCATTTTCTTGACAGAACAGCAACATGCAAGGAGGCGGACAATGTGCGCTCCTGCTGTGCATGCACCTCATGCCCACTGTGTGAAAAACAGAGCGCGCAGCAC